GTATCAGTTTGATGATTTTCAGTAATATATTCTTAAGTTATTGTATTTTATTAAAACAAAAATGTTTGTTATTATCCTGCTAAGAAATGTGTTACTGATGGCACTGGTTTGTTAAGAATCAAAGAGTTGAATTGTTTATCAGCTTCAGGCAATTCGACTCTATTTTCCAGCACTCTCCTAAGTAATCGTAACTTACAGGCAAAGCATCAAATATAAGACATTTCAAATCCCCAAAAGGATTCTTTTAAAATGAGGTTGCTTCTTGCAAGATGACAAGTGCCTTGTATTCTGTTTGTCTACCAATGTAGGTTGCATAATCTGAACATAACTTTCATTTCAATTTCAGTATCAAATTATATATAAGTCCAGCAAATGTTAAAGTTGTATTAGTTGACTTTTGTTCATTAACTGTGTGAATGCAATGACATTTTTAACATCATAAAATCTTTCTTTGGATATGTGATGTCACGTCTTTGTCTGGAGCATGTAGGTGTTTCTTACATAGGTATTTGGCAGGGTTATATCAACAGTGTGGTTGCATGCACATTCTTTATCAAGCTTCCTGACATTTCAAAGATAGCACTTAAGTCAGAAATAGATTTTGCAGAAAGAAGTTGTTTTTGTTGTCAAAGTTTGATCGTCAGACAGTTGCTATGGTCACTACAATCCATCAACGTCAATCACTTGCAGGTGAAATAGTTATGTCTACGCACCTCAGAAAATCAATTCCTTTGCAAGTCCCTCTTCATAAGCTGGCAGTTTGAGGAATAACTAACGTCTTGATATGTACAACATGTTATTAACATGAGATCTGATGACATGTGACATTTATTGATTAGGACTTGACAGTTGCTATGTTTGAACAAGTGAGCCATGTCTGCTTTGTAAAAAACAGTTTCATGTGTGTTCACACTGGACTTGTTGATTAAAGGGAATGGCACTGAATATATCACATCTTAGCGCTGTGCTACAATGACGTTTGTCTCGCTCGAAGGTAGGTGGACTTCTGGCAAACTCTGTTGTCGTTCATAGCACGCCTGTTGCAGGCAGCCGGGATTTCTGACGAGGCTAAAGACGAGCTGCTGGAAGCAATTAAGATCATCTCGTCACAAATGTTTATGGAATGATCTTTGTTAAGATGATGGAGAAAACATCCCCAAATGCACTGATTTGCAGTGCCACCAGTTTAGATGCAGATTTCTGCAAAGGTACTTTGTGTTCCATGTTGTTTTCTTACATTTTGTGGCCAGTGGTGAGAGCTATATCTGCTGCCCAGGGACCATGATGAAGCATCCGTCTGTGAGATTTGGCAGTCTCTGCTGAGACAGCATGCATATGTTACTTGATGGTCGGTGTCTGTTTCTGTGGAAGTATGTGCCCGTGTGTTGCAATCAAGGGAATAGTGATACCTTGCACATAGTTATGCTTCAACACATTTTAACTTTGCTGTCTATTTTTATCTTGGTGTCAAGGCCATGATTGATCTGGTTTATTGTGGACTTTAAACAGTACATAGTTTGATCTCTTGCTCAATAGGGTGTGTTTAGTAAAGCAGGATTTTTGTGACGATTGATATTGCTAATGTAGCATTGTTAGCATGGTTAGTGCTTTCAGTGCTAATCTATTTGATTAGATATTGATCAAAACCTGTTGATGTGCTGATAACACAATAGATTCTAATGCACACTACAGTATTCCCCATGGAATGTTTTTGTGTTGGCAATCCATGTAAATGGACTTTGTAGGTAACAATTAACTTAAGTGTTTCGTCCAATCTGAAATGGCCCCTCTCCATGATCTGGTGGATGGAATGTCTGCCTGGAGAGCGGAATGTTGGGTTTTCGATCCCCGTCAGCATCATACCAAAAGATGTTAAAAGATGGTACTTCTTGTTACCCTGTATTGACAATCGTCATTAAGGGGCTAAAAGACGAACTGGTCGATTCTGTGTCCATTTTTGTGTCTGGGTGGGGTATCCATGTTAAACTGCAGCAAGGTATCTCAGTGGGCTGGCACTATAACCTCACCTCACCTTACCTCCAGTCTGCAATTGGATTGCCTAAGCATTATATTGATTTGTCAGATCTGTAATGTGAGTATGGTATAGCATTTACGTCACTGCTGGTATTCATTATTTGATGATGTTTGAGGCATTTTTTCCAGATGTTTTGTGTGGAATTTTATTCTATAGCATCAAAACTGGTAGACGTCAACAACCAGTTCTTAATGATTTGTCAGTGATGGTGAGAGTTGATTATCTAACATATCTATCGGTAAATTCATTTTCAAAAATAGAAAGCTGATTTCATTATTTATACCTGTGAATGCTTTTTGAAAGGCATATTCAGATTTTATTTGTATGCATAGTATCACTGATTATTCTTTGAGCAAGCCATTATTTCATATCATTTACTTTTGATTGTTGACTATAAAAAAACATAAGTAACTCCTCTTCCACTGTCTTTTGTCGAAAGTGTTTCTGTTTAGAAAGACACATTTATTAAAAGAACTTGTTTGTTGTATTATCCTTTGAAAATCTAAAATGGGCAAACTCCGAAAGTCGAAGTTGTGAGGTTTATAAATAGGAAGGTGTTTGTTTTTGTCAATTCTTGGTTTAGTCTAGTGTTCCATGGAACAGGCAAGTCTAGACTGCCAAGCGTAGATCACTGTTCATTGTCATGGCCTCCTGTGTCCGGGGAATGCATTCAGATATATTAGCTGTATTTGTGGGAGGGGTGAACAGAGTCCAAGTTCTTAGCTGATTGAATGGGAGAAATCTCTGAAGCATGACGCTTATTTAACCTACTTGAAATCCTTGCTCCAAGGAGAGCCAAACCCACTCTAGCATAAAATAACTAAGAATCGTATTCTAGAATATGTGATTTTCAGAAGGTAAAATCTTTGCTTGTGGTAAGAACAGACTTTGTTGTTTCGGTGGTGTGTTATTGTATGAGGGGAAAGGGATTACAGAGTATGTTTGTACAGGTTCAATTGTGCCCTGTGAGACGTAGATAGAAAGTTAATGCAGCAGAAGTGATGAAATCTTTGCACAGTTGGGTGTACTGATCTTCAGGATTTGTTTACTATTTATTTAATAGCTACTGAATGTTATGGTAATGTTTAATTTTGCAAATGTAATCAATGGTTTTGTTTTGTTTTATTCAAGTTTCATTCATGCGTTCTAATATTTCAAGCCTGTTGGGATTCCTGGTAAAAATATAGATCCCCAGAGACCTATACTTGTTGACTTTGTTGATTGCATGTCAGCGCATACCGATTGCATGGATCGTTGTTCATGATGTCAATCACTGGATCGTCTGGTCCAGACTCCAATATTTACATACCAATGCTGATGGTGGCATTAAACAAACTAACAATTCTAATATATCTATTTTCATAAAAAAGTACCTTGTGTTTCTGAAAACATGGTTTACATGGTTAAAGGATATTGAAATATCACTCTTTTATGACACTGGATGGAAACCTTTCAGCATTGAGCACTGATTTATTTACAGGTATTCATATTACTACTTGCTACTATATTGCTACTCACGTATCTCTTGGACCCGTGTAGATCTGGGGTAGAATAGGTCTTAACTAACCCATGCTTGCTCTAAAAGGCGACTATGCCTGTTGTAAGAGGCAACTAATGGGATTGGGTTGTCAGGCTTGCCTTCTTGGTTGATGTGTCATCGATCCCAATTGTGTGGATTAATGCTCATGATGTCAATCACTGGATTGTCTAGTCCAGACTCGATTATTTACAGACTGCCATCATATAGCTGAAATATTGCTGAGTGTGGCATTAAACAACAAACAAACGAATGTATCTCTTGATGTAAATGTAGACAGTATTTGTTCATGTATGGTCCCTTATTCTGGTGAATTATTGTGGTTTGATTGCATTTGTAATTGGTACACCTGTTGCCGTAAATTTGACACTGAGAAGTTGGTCATCTTAGTCAACAATTGTTATAATTAATATGACTGAAACATTCTTTATTGTGTTCCTTATTATGTCAGAAAGATGTGTGAGATGAATAGCTTTGACCCAAGTACAAAATTATGCTTTGAAATCTTGATGACAATGTCAGAGTTCACAGTTTATCTCTGTAACTAAAGTTTGTTTTAAATTGCATCAAATAAACACCTGTCAATATGAAATATTATGATATTGATAGGAATATATTTCAACAATCGCTGGTTGTTGTCAGTTTTGTTCATAAACAGAAGATACTTACCAAAAGGATGACTCATTGAAGAAGTAAAGGCATAATATGTCTGAGTCAGTTATTTGACCACAAATGACAGCACTTCTTAAGTTCTTATGACTTGACCACATGTTCATCTTGAAACATTAGCCTCGTACAACATGTACAAGACTAATTGGATATATGTGAAGTGAGTGAGTGGGTGAATGTTGCTCAATGCCACAGTCAGCAGTATTACAGCTATACCACTGCACCCTGTAAATAGTAAAGTCTGAACCAGGCAACAACTATCTGAACAGCAGGCAATGCTGTTGGGGTATGATGACAAGCAATTGGTCAAGTCACAAAGCGTACCAAGTACCAGATTCCTATATCAGTTGACTCTTTGTTGATCTGCATTCAGGGTTAGGAACTAATTTGTATTTTCACTAATCCGCATAAGTCATCTGCTAGTTTACAGAGTTGTTATCTACCCGATGGTAAAAGTCTGTGTCCAAAAATTCATATCACTTGTCCTTCCTGAATTTACTAGTCACAGACTAGTCAATTTCAAACCCATGAGGTACTGTCGACCTATTCTGGTCCAACACAGGGGAAATAAATGTATATAATGACATGCAAAGTGTCTTGAACACATCTCCTGAAGGATCTACAAATGCAGCTACGAAGTGAACCAGGTGTCTGCAAAAAATGTATTTTGGCAGGGAAGATCAAGTTTGACTGAATAGTGAGTGAAATCTCACAGACAGACTGACTTATGTGTGATGGCATGTTGTTTTCGGTTAACAGAGGCAACACCAGCCGAAAGGGAGGAGCTGTTTGTCCAGAAGATCCGCCAGTGTTGCGTGCTCTTTGACTTCGTGCAGGATCCACTCAGTGATCTGAAATGGAAGGAAGTGAAAAGGGCCGCTCTCAACGAGATGGTGGAGTATGTCACCCAGAACAGAGGAGTGATCACGGATGCCATTTACCCGGAGGTCATACACATGGTGAGTATCTCATAGGGTTAGAATACGTCTTGCAGCAACCCATGCTTGCCGTAAAAGGCGACTATGTATGTCGTAAGAGGTGACTAACGGGATCGGATGGTCAGGCTCGCTGACTTGGTTGATGCATGCCATCATATCCCAATTGCATGGATAGATGCTCATGGTCCAGATTCGACAACCTGGGTGTTATCATTGTTGATACTTTCTACCATGGAGTCACACACATGTTATAAGAACCATTACCATCCTTACTTGTATCCCTGTAAGTTGTGTAAAATGTCTGTATACCAACAAGCTGTGAATTAAGTATTTGTGTTTATCTTGCAGTTTGGGTCAAATCTGTTTCGGACATTGCCACCATCGTCCAACCCAAGCGGGGCTGAGTTTGACCCCGAGGAAGATGAACCCACTCTAGAGGCAGCCTGGCCACATCTACAGGTTTGTGCTGATACAGCTCATGTACATTATATAGCACAGAGCATCAGGAAATACCAGTCCAGCAATAGAAATTGTCAATAGGCTTTATTCCTTGCCAAACTGCCCAGTAGCTGAGGCATAAGGACTAATAGAAATTTGCCATTTGTAAGGGTTTTGCTATATGTTACCCTTATGAAGACTAGTGGACTAAGTGTTAGTTTCTGTTGCTGCCAGTGTCATTTCTGGGCCGGTAAAATCTTTGTATTCATTGACATGTCTAATACTGTGTGTCCAGTTATCAAGACTCAGTTTCTCAGGGGATCTAGGGTCTACAGCTGTTGTAACTTTCTTACTTAAAAAAAGTCTTGCAGTGTTCGTGGCACTGATGTGGATTTTAAAAATGGGATTCAATCTTGTAAGCTATCAAATATCGTCACTGGAAAGTACCCACTTAACCTGATGTCAGGGTGTGGGAAATGGGGTTTAATGTCATGTTCCAAGATTATTGCACTTAAGAAGTGAGGTGCATGCACATGTGTATGTAGCTGCTTGTATTAGTCTGGTGTTATAGTCCTAGCCCACCGAGATACCATGCCGCAGTTAAACATGGATACCCCACTCAGACACATAAACTGACTCCGAGCCGACCAGTACTTGTTATATCCGCTTTATGCTGAGCTCCAGACAGGGTAAAAAGAAGTACCATCTTTTAACATCTTTTGGAAAGAAATCTTCTGGGGATTGAACCAGTGACCTTCAAAAATTTTGTGGAGATGCCCTATCCTCAAGACCACAGAGGCGTTTTCTGTATGTCTAGCAGCTCTAAACAACTTTCCTTCCAATTACCAAAAGTGTACAGCTGAAGGACAAGGTGTCGCTAAGAGCTTAGCTAAGATATGTTTAGTCTGATATGGGCAAGTTATTCCAGGTCTTCAGCAACCCTCCCTTGCCGTAAAAGGCGACTATGCTTGTTGTAAGAGGCGACAAACGGGATCGGTGGTCAGGCTCGCTGACTTGGTTGATGCATGTCATCAATCACAATTGCATGAATCGATCTTCATGATGTCAATCACTGGATTATCTGGTGCAGGCTCGATTATTTACAGACCACTGTCATATAGCTGGAATATTGCTGAGTGCGGCGTTAAACAAACAGTTAGCAGCCATATGGAAAGAGCCCAAATATGTTTGAGATGCCTCTCCAGATGCATTAAGATTTACAACAATGTATTGTTTTTCAGCTGGTGTATGAGTTTTTCCTCCGGTTTCTTGAGTCTCCGGATTTTCAACCAAACACAGCAAAGAGATACATAGATCAGAAGTTTGTTCTGCAGGTAATTACGGTCTTTATCTTGATTTGCATGTTTGGAATATAATAAGTAATCAACATGAATAATGGCATGATCTCATCTCCAGATATTAATGCTTGAAGTCTTGATATTTGCTGTTTTATACAATACATGGTATCTTGGGTGAAAGGTTTGACAGTCATGAAACAAGTTTGTTCCTCATAAATGCACAATCTTAATTCACTGTTTGTCTTGTTTCAGCTTCTCGATTTATTTGATAGTGAAGATCCCAGGGAAAGAGATTTTTTGAAAACAATATTACACAGGATATACGGAAAGTTCCTGGGTTTGCGGGCATACATACGAAAACAAATTAATAACATATTTTATAGGTAAGTATCTAATAATATTTTAGACATTATTTGGATAAGATTGAGGCAGAGGCTGTTGACATCATATTATTAATGTTAAGTTTATATCGTTCAAGTAGCTGAACCACAGGTTCGTGTGAACTTACACTGTGAGGACTTGTCTGTCATCTGAACAATTACAATTTCGTCGATTCCTCTCAAACTGCCTATGGTGTTTGCAACTGGTAAAAATAAACATTTCTCACAGAATTCAGATCCGGTTGGTAGCATGGCTGTTATGACAGCCATATTGAAGTATCAGTTTGCCTGTTATGTATCTGAAAATGATGCTTTAGAGTTAAGTTTGGGCTAGTAGACTCAAATGTTTTTGGTCCAGACTGAAATTGGATGTACAAGGAGTATGTATATTTTTGTATTTGCCCGTTCCAACTCAATCCATGAGATTGAGTTGGAACGGGCAAATACCAAAATTTAGTTCTCGCTACCGCTAAACTAAGATCTGAGGACATCCCATTACAGGTCACGTCAGACCGACCTTGCACGAACTTTGACCAACCAATGGAGTGACCGACCGATGGAATGACCAATCAAAAGGCAGCTTTCTCGTGCTTTAATGTCAAATTGGCGACTACGCTTTTCGAAACATATTTTGACAAATTCTCGATTACAAATTTGATACCTGAACAAAAAGAACATTCTGGAATGGCTAATAGATGGTCTAGATTGTAAGGATACAGTCGTTTAACCCGTAACTATCGTTCAGAATACCCCATGTTAAAGTTTTCGAGGTTGCATGATTAGAAATCACATTCTGACTGTCACTTTCATAATCTGGTAAGCGACGCTCTGACTAGTTGGATGAAAGGTCGTTCTGATGTGACCCCCAAATGGGATGTCTTCAGAACTTTGTTTAGCGGTAGTTCCAACTTCACACGATTGTAACTCTAATGATATCAAGAAACAACTTGAGTTTATGAACTCATCTTTTAAATGGACACCATAATCAGTTGTTATTTTAACTAGATCGAGGTATTGCCACAATAAAAAACAAAGCTTCATCCACTACTCATATAGCACATGCATGGTATTCATAATGAAACCATAGAAACATAATTCTTCATATATCTTTAGATCATTAAAATGTTGTCAATGTAAATTGTAAATTGTGAATTGTGACGTTGTGGACATCATGAGATGAAAGTAAACTGCAGAGCCTCACGGCACTAGTTGTCAGATTAACTCAAGTTGATGCTCTGGACACCATTTTATCTCGTAAAATCTTGGAGCTTATCAAAACAGGTAGTCAGGCCTGTAATTTAGTTTTTTATTTAACAGATCAACATTTTGCATATTTTTCTCATTTATTATATGATAAAACTTTATGTTATGATTTGAAATGTCATTATTATTCTGATGTGTTAATGATTGAAAAAGCCTTCCATGCTGCTTTCAATTTTATCCCTTTGTATAGTTAGTTCTAACGGCCAGTTATTTCATAGAGCATACTGATAAGGTGTTTTAGTCTTTTTTCCAGGTTTATTTATGAAACAGAGCATCATAACGGTATTGCAGAATTGTTAGAAATCTTGGGAAGGTGAGTTGTTGGTTTCTGCTACATTTCTATTAAAATAGTTTGTTTTAGAAAACAAATTGTTCATTTTACTCTGAAGGCTTTCCAGCCTAACCTCACATACTGTTCTGTAGGATTTGGGATGGGTTCTCTTAGGAATTCTATGTTAGTGTTTGCCTGCTAAGATACGTACTTCAATGGCATGGTTGAGATAGTTAGTTGACATATGCTAATAGACTCTGTGACTTTGTAACCGTGTGACTGTAGGTGTCAGTTCCAGATCTAGTGTCTATACTGATTGTCGCTTTGATGAAGTATGGTTCCTTGTTCTGTTGACTTTAATCTAGAGTCTTTCCTATTGATCACTTTTGAGCCTTTAACCTTAGACTCCTATCTTTTCCCATTACTCGAGGAGTGTGGTAGCCTAGTGGTTAAGGTGTTTGCTTGTGAAGATAGTGTCTTGAGATTTTAATCGCTGTAAAATATTGTTAGGTAATATTGCTCGTTGTTCCTTGTCTTGTTCCTTGAAAGTTCAACTGATGTCTCCGAGTTGGGCAGTTGTGGTAGTTGCGTTGTTAAAGTGTTAGCTTGTCAAGATCTTAAGTTTTAAACACTATACTATATTAGATATTGCATCAGATAAGTCGTTATATCAGGAAAGGCATTAATAGTTTAGTTAAGATTACTTGAAGTTCAACTAGAATCAATACTCACTAAGATGTATGTGCCTGTAAGTCGTGAGCTGGTTAAGAGAGGCCTGTCTTGTTTCATTTCCTAACGTGTCCGTCAAACTGTCATTGATTGATGATTAGCTAGGACTCCGCACACAACCTTACCCTGATGTGCCTAGGCCTGATAGAAAGTTATTACCACCCTATAATGAGGCTTGTTGTTTATGGGAAGGTAGATAATTGTGTTTTGTCATGTGTACAGTACCCTGTGGAAAATGTCTGGCATGTTTTTGCGGTCATGATTAAGCAGAGCTATCAAATTTCAGTGTTGGTTTGAATTTTGATGATTGGTTAAAACGGCACTGAAATTATTGAAAAACAGGCATAAAGATGTTGTTCCAATATGTGTACCTGCCCTTTTGATTCCTACCTAACATGTGTGATGTTACTGATAAAAATATTTTTCAAGAATGAAATATTGCGCTATGTCTTGGGACTTTTGGCAAAGATATGAGTATCAATTAAAGAAATAATACCAACATAGTTTGGCAGATGTATAATTGAATCAGCAAAGTCTTTTTAGTTTCATTTACTGTATATAATTTATACTGAATTCGTTTGTCTAAAAATTGTTTTATATTTGTTTCAGTATAATAAATGGGTTTGCTCTTCCTCTGAAGGAGGAGCACAAAGTATTCTTGCTGAAAGTATTACTCCCTCTGCATAAGGTGAAATCTCTAAGTGTGTACCACCCTCAGCTGGCCTACTGTGTGGTGCAGTTCCTAGAGAAAGACCCCAGTCTCACAGAACCAGTGAGTCAATATTTCTTCAACAAAGCTTTTTGAAATATATTTTGTCAGTCTAGTGTTGTGGACAGGAACTGAAAGTTCTACTGAGAAACCTCTTCAAAACCTGGAGCATCACAGTGTTTGTGTTTCCTGGACATGACACTTTTAGTTATGTCATGTTGTCTTGCAACTTTATACTGTATGCTAGTAGCACCTGTGAAGATCCGGGTAGAGAATAGTCTTCAGCAACCCATGCTTGCCGTAACAGGTGACTACGCTTGTGATAAGGGGTGACTAAAGGGATCGGGTGGTCAGGCTCATCGACTTGGTTGATTCAGGTCATATCACAATTGCGTAGAATGATGCTCATGATGTCAATCACTTGATAGTCTGGTCCGAACTCGATTATTTACAGACCGTCATCTAATAGCTGGAATATTGTTTAGTGCAGCTTTAAACAACAAACAAAACAAGAAATGTATGCTTGTAGGAAGTATAGAGTTTCTGGGCATTAAGGGTAACCACCTCAATGGTCTTGTGGATAGAGCATCTGTCCAGAGAGCGGAAGGTCGGTGGTTCAATCCCTTGGCCACCTCATACCACAAGATGTAAAAGGATGGTACTTGTTGTTACCCTTTCTGGCTTTCGGTATTGAGGGCATAGAACAAGGACTGTTAAGATGCGGCATGCTATCGCTTTGGGCTGGGTGGTCGGGTAGCCTAGTGGTAAGATCATTCGCTCGTCACGCCGAAGACCTGGGGTTCAATTCCCGACATGGCCACAATGTGTGAAGCCCGTTTCTGGTGTCCCCGCTGTGATATTGCTAAAAGCGGCGTAAAACCATACTCACTCACTCACTCACTATCGCTGTGGGCTAGCACTATGAAACTGGCATAAGTCCAGACTAGTACAAGCAACCACACAGACACATGCATGCACGTCACTATATAAGTGCAATGACCTTCAACCTCATTTCACTTCATCCTGTCACTTTTTATTCAAGATGTGAAACCTTTGGTAAGAGCTGGAACTGTAGCGATTGATTTATAATGGGTGTCTCAATATATCCAGAATTGACTTTTGCAATTTTAGACATGATAGATGTGTAATGTCTTAGAAGTAGTTAATGTTTCTGTAGTGATTTCTGGATTAGTGATGAGAAAAAAAAATGCAGTCTTTCTCTAAAGCATTGCCCATCAAATAGGCATTGATTTCCACGGCTCCAGTCCTCAAAGCAATCTTTGCATCATGACTGTTGGAATATCATAAATTACTTCATAGATTAACAATAATCATAGCAATAACATTGCTTTGTTGAATGAGACCTTGGATCACATGGGTTGGTCTCCTATTCCTGTACAACTGACTGTGTTGTCTAGTAAATGTTTTTGTAAATAGCACCAAAGCTCAGATGACTTTGAGAAAATGTGTACAGGGTAGAACGGCTAATAGACCACTTTCTTCAGTATGCTTTGTTTTTTGCAGGTTATCATGGGACTGTTGAAATTCTGGCCCAAAGTGCACAGTCCAAAAGAGGTAGGAGTCAAAAGTTACTCAAAGTATAGTGTAATAGGATATTATTTCCCCCTGGAAATTCATTCCAGGAGAAAGTAATAATCTAGGTAAAAATATCCACTGTGCCGAGGATATTATTTTTTCAGCCAGTATCTTATTCACACTGGAATGTTTTTCCTTATGAATATTCTTTCCTCCAGAATATTTTGGACTCGGGAACACTGCAGTGAAATCACTGTAAAACATGTTTTGCTATTATAGTATTTGGGAAAGTTAATAGTGATATAATAAGAACATTTAACTATTGCATTGGGAACCATATGATCATTAAGAATTAGATGAAACTTTGCCCATACAGTTCCAATGGGATTGTTTTCAGGTGATGTTTCTGAACGAGCTTGAGGAGATCCTTGATGTGATAGAACCAGCAGAGTTCACCAAGGTGATGGGCCCTCTCTTCAAACAGCTGGCCAAATGTGTCTCAAGTCCACACTTCCAGGTATTTGTGCCCTCATCACTACAGGAGCATCCTAGTAGGCAATTCACAATAGATCATACAGTCGTCACATATTGCAATAAAAATATAAAATATGAATACAAAATGATAGTCAAATGTTACACTCGGACTAGAAATACTCTTGTTGAGATGGTTAATGCATGTTTCCAAACATTCCAAACTGAACATTCCATGGATTGTCTTGTGGCCATTCCTGATGTTGTTATCCTGTTGCAGCCCGCGGTCACTATTCCTCACGGAGTCTGAGAGGAGTGTTTGTGTAGCCCATTACCCTGAGTTTGTGTAGTTGAGGCCCTGTGTGTATCCTATATACTGTGGACTAAACAAGAGAAGCTGTCTGTATTTGCAGGTTGCAGAGCGGGCTCTGTACTACTGGAATAATGAGTACATCCTTAGTCTAATCAGCGACAATGTTAGTACCATCCTCCCTGTAATGTTCCCAGCTCTCTATAAGACCAAACAACACTGGAACAAGTAAGATTGGTCACTTCCTTCCTACCCCTACTTTCGTACATATGTCCATCCGTCCGTCCAGCCACCCCACATGCGTGCATGCCAACTGTCGGTTGGAGATGGTTTTGACTGCAGTATGCTTGCAACCAGAAGTTAAAAAAAATTCTGTAATGGGTTTCTTATTCTTTTAAGTCTTGTACCATGTGAATTTTAAGTCATGAACAGACACACTCTTACTGAAAATTAAAAAAAAAAAAAAAAAATTAAACTATTGATGTTTATAACAGTCAAATTATGACCCCAAAAAATAAAATTGATAACATGTCTGAAATATTTTGGTGGCATTTTGACTCACCCTTCTTTATGTGCATGTCTTTGGATTCGTAAAGGCCACTGACATTTTGATAGCCATTGATGAAATCAATGACATCAATGATTAAATATTCCCCAGTTGAGGAAATAACACTTTGGTGATCGAGTTTCAGGTAATCTGCAGCCATTACATATCTGAGCCTGGTTGTCTGTGCACAATGCCTCGTTTCCATGGTGACCGCTCCCCTCCTGCCCTGCCTGAAAGAGCGTTGCTCAGGCTCCCCTGGCCACGTCTGATGCCTTTACCTTTAGGGGAAGTCCTTCAAGGAGCACAAGATGGCCTCATTATCTGTAGTACTTTCTCTGATGCCAGTAATCAATTCCTTTCTAGAAAACAACTCTTGTCTGTTGTCACCTACTGGTCACTTTGAATTAAAAGTCTCTGAAGTAACATGCAGAATGATGCAACAGGGGATATACTTGAATTACCACTCATATATTATTCAAGACTTTACTTCACCAGTTTCATTCTTTGAAGTCTATGACTTGAAAGACATTTCTTGGCCAGTGTTCAATGTTTGGTATAAAAGACAAGCAGTCCTCTTCTGTTTCTAGTGTTAATGACAGATTTGGGGCAACAAAAAATATCTAGGACTGTATCAGAGTTGTATCCCTGTCATCCCATCCTTATACATAGAGCCCCATTATGTAAAGGTGCCAGACAAGCCATACATTTTTCACATGATTTGAGTTTGACTTCTTTCTTTCAGTTCCCCATGTGTCTCTATGCTCTGCATTGCATGAGTGATTCATATCTACCTTGTACATATATACATATCTGTCAAACATACCTATGTATTGGATCCATTGTCATGCTTGTCATCAGTTCTTTTGCTATTTTTGTTTCATCGTCCAGGTTGCCGAGCGAGCACTGTATTTTTGGAATAACGAGTACATCTTGAGTTTGATCAGTGACAATGCCTCAGCCGTTTTGCCAATCATGTTCCCCGCTCTTTACAAGAGCAAGGAGCATTGGAACAAGTAAGCTGCTAACATTATGCGCGTTAGTTGACGCTGAATATGCCAATTTAATCACTTTGCTTTTGGGGGGCGGTGTGGGAGCCTAGTGGTTAAAGCATTTGCTCATCACGCCAAAGGCCTAGGTTCATTCCCCACATGGGTACAATGTGTGAATCCCATTTCTGGTGACCCCCGCCGTGATATTGCTGGAATATTGCTAAGAGCGGCGTAAAACCATACTCACTCACTCACTCACTCACTTTGCTTAGGTAGGTAGTGTACAAATGCGCAAAAAAAATCATGCAAGCTTATCAACTAACCACAAAAAGCTTGATATAAATAGCTGATTTCAGCAGATTGAGTTTGGAAATAATGCTGATGTTTTGCCAGCGTTTGTGACGAAAGTCGTAAGAAAAACCTGGAATGAAACTTTCATGCGTAACATTGCCATTCATTTGATACCTACCATCAGTTGATGTTTGGATTCACTGACAAGATTTGATACCTTTACTTTGGTTGCACTACTACCACTTTGGTTAGCATGAAGGTGGTTCAACAGTAATCATCTTTATTTTGATGGCATGATATTGCAGCTGATGTGTTTGTGTGTGAGTGCGCATGTAGATTCTCACATCAACAGCTGTGTGTAGGGATAAAATTCTATATGTACTGAGTGTTGTCAAAACCATGTCTTGCACACTTAACTTTAATGTAAGACAATTGTCACTGATTGGTGATAAAATGTTTTTGTTTCAAATCATCAGATCAACAGAATACTAAATGTTAGTATTGTTATTAAATCGTTCACAGTGATGAGTTTTTAATTGAAAATGCATGCTGTTGCTGCAAGGAGGTTGTGTTGTGTTGACGTTGAAGTATGATTGGTTACAGGACAATACACGGGTTGATCTACAACGCTCTCAAGCTCTTCATGGAAATGAATCAGAAACTGTTTGATGACTGCACTCAGCAATACAAGGCAGAGAGACAGAAGTGGGTGGTTCTCTTTCATAGTTTTCAGTGTTATTATGGTACTTGTTGTTACGCTGCCTGGCGCTTGGCATTAAGGTGCTAAAACAAGGACTGGTCGGCCAGTCAGGTTACTCTCAGAGCAGGGTATCCTATTAAACTGCGGCTTAGGATCTTAATGGCCTAGCACTAAAAGACTGGGAGTCGGGAGTTTTAGAAGCAGTCCCACACACATGTGCATGCAAGTCACTATGTAAGTGCACTAATCTTGGAACGCGATGTTAAACTCCTCACATCTGATCTTCAGGTGTGAAGCCCATTTCTGGTGTCCCCTGCCGTGATATCGCTGGAATATTGCTAAAAGTGGCTTAATCAAACTCACTCACACTCACTCACTCCTTATCTTCAGTGTTATTGGGAGTATTGTAGGTGAAATGCATTCTCAGCATGAAGAAAATTTGGTCATATGATACTTGATATGGCTGCAAGTTTCAAGAGCTGATTCAATTGAAACATAATGCGTTTAACTTTGTGATTGGTGAAAGAGCAAAAGGAGTATTAACTACAGTGTGCATCTGTCAACATGACTGACTTTTTTAGTTGTCACATCCACATGTCCACAAGTGGTGAATCCGGGGCAGACTAGGTCCTATGTACCCAATGCTTGTTGTAAAAGATGATCTAAGTTTCTGACTAGGTGGTTACATTTGTTTCAGAAAAATATTTAGGTTTGCTCTCCCTCTGAGGAGGAACACTAAGTTTTGTTGTATTACTCCTGCTGCATATGGTGATGCTCATCCTATCAACCACTGGTTTGTGTGAAATGATATTGCTTGAATTATATTTGACTAATACCAATTTTGACTCTTTCACTCATGTCATGTTTTAGTCAGTAATAAAATCACCCACGAGAAATTGATACAAATGAATAGGCAACATATTGCTAAGGATTAGTGATTCTTTCAGGGAAAAGGAGAAAAACAAACAAAGAGAAGAGGCCTGGACTAAAATCCACACCTTGGCCAAAGACAATCCACAGGTACGTGTGCACTGATGCTGTTGGCAGGATCCTGCGTTCAAGGTTGCCATAGAAACAACATTCAGACTCGGGTGCTCAATCGGTATATGTTAACGATAAGAAGGATGCCTTAAACATACCACTTTTTGTAGGTCTGTAATAAGGTAAATAGTTTTGGCTCTCATTGTACCTTTGATCTTGTTTTGTAATGTTTGATCCCAAGGCCCTGTTCCATAAAGTGATTCAACTAATGCCAGTCAGTGTAGGTAAAGGACATCTAATAGTTTGGATACTATAACTGTTTTATCAATGAGGGCTTCTGTCAACATTAATCACTGTATTCGAGGCTTCAATGGGTTAATTGTGTGTTTGTTATAAATATTATATTGCCGTGTTATTGGACCACCTTGAGTTTGGGGATGAAGATGGGGCAGATAGGACATTGTAGGTCAGGGAAGTATCATTAAAATAATACAGTATTTTGAGGTATCTGTATTTTAAATTATGAGAGTGTTTTGTTTGTTGTTAACTATCTTATTGAGCACAACTGGTGTCTGTTTCCATGGCAACATGATATAGGTTGGGTATCCTGCCAAAGTGTAGTAGATTGTGTCGCATGCAGCATGACGCCTGTTCGAGTTGACCATTTCCCTCATCGTCAGTTTTATCACACAGAATGTGAATGAATTAGACCATTTTTTAGGTTCCCATCTTCATGCATGTATTACTTTATTTGCAGACAGTACACTGACGGTGATTTCATTGAAGCAGTTTATTAATAACATCCCCAAAATGTAACGATTATGAGCATGTATTTGTGTGAATTGCTGTTGTGTTTCACATTAGAATTTGTTGAGCAACCTTTTCAACTTCTCACCCACATTATATTTCATTTCAAACAAAGTCTTGAAAAGAACACCAGTAAGCAGTGAATGAAATTTAAAAGCGGGACATGCTTATCTCCATGGATACGTTGCCTGCTTCTGGTTGTGGCAGTGTTTTGGTCTAGTTGCTTATGGCAAAATCAAGCTTCACTAAGAGAGAATGCAGCTTGTAAGCAAGGGGACAGTCTAGTCCTCAATGTTTTCTTTTTTTTATTATAGTTTAGATCATTAGGGAGTACCACGCCGACGGAAATGTCGGCCAACTCCGGTAACTCGCCGGTACCCAACAACACAGCAGAGGATGAGGGGGACATGAACCTTACCATGGAAAAATTGGAAAGCGAGGCTAAGGAGGTAGGCAGCTGTTTCGCTACACAGTGACGGCGCCACTCATTATGCAGCCATTTGGTGTAGGAATTATGACATCCTTTTCATAAATGGACATCTGAATGTAATTTTAAAGAAAGGAAAATCCTTTGTTATAATGTTGATGGCGCATTTATTGTAAGGATTTGATTGAACAAATGTTACTGTTATGTGTAGCTCAGGTGATTAAGTTTAAGAATGACTTTTGAAAATTGATGTCAAAAACGGGACAATTGGAATTCAATATGTACTAAGGGACATAACTCTATCAGTCACAAGAAAGGTATTGCATTACAAACAATTTCCATAATTGCATCATTTATTCATGTATGGGTGAATTCAGTTTTCTTTCCACAGTTTTTTCCCTTTTTATTTCCTTGTACACCTACCCTCACTTAGACTGTTTGAAATATCATGTTTTCAGTAACACTTGCATTATCATTGAAATATGTAATAAAAGGTTTCACTTGCTCCTCACATTGACATTGAGCCATTTCCTCCCAACCTGTGGCTTACTTCACATTGATTCACAAAGACCTGTTTTCATTCATAATTAGTGTGAATAATTTGACTTGGAACTCCTCGTCAGTTTGCTTGTGACATGACTGAGCAGGATATTGTTATATGCTTGTTAAAGAAGCACAGGTGATGCCTAGTCTGCTGATGTTTTGCTTGCGCTTGCTGTAGATTATTATTAACAAATTTGATAGACATATAAGTGATTCTTTCCAGCTTTTAATGTAACCCATCCCTTGTCTAACAAGTAGTAGTTCAGGTTTGTTTGTTGGAATGTTCATTTCATATTTGGAAGTCTCCTTTTTATATGTAGGAGAGTGTTTTTATATTTTTACCTCGTCCGAAACTGTATGAACTCTTAGTAGTTGTCAGGTTTGCTGTATGTTTTCCTTTAACCTGAGTTTCCTCATACTGTTCAAATTCTGAGTGCATAGTACTTCTATTTCAATGGTGATTAATGTGTCTTATGTATAAGACATAAGAGTAGTATGCTTGTTGAACAGTAAGTAAAAGATGTGTACGGCCCTGCCCATTTGCATGTTGGGGTTGTCAGTTTGTACATTATTTCCATGCAGGATTTATTTGTTTGATTCGGTAATATACTTTCATGGAGAGTTATTTAGTATGCTCAGGCACCCGAACACCTCACTTTTTACAATAACTCCTTATGAAAGTATTGAAGATTCAACATGCATCAATTTCTTGAAACTTAATATGCTGACATTTTACTTTTGTTTCAAGGTTAAAAATGCTTATGATTGCTGAATGTTTTACATGTTGTTTGTTACTTCCACCTCATCTGAGGTCCCCTATGGGGTCAAGGTCCATACTAAATAATCATGTTAGGAACTGATGTGCAAACTTTGACATTACCCTTAGAATACTGTAGTGCTCTACGGAGTGTTCATCAGGAACAGTACCAATGCAGAAAATGACCAGTGATGACATCTTTTGTCCTTCCAGAGTTGCAATCGGTAGCAGCAAGCATTTATCTGGTAGGATTTGGTCTTCAGTGGTTTGGATAGTTTTATTTTCGTTTAATCCCTTTTGCTTGATTTGCTTATTTTGTTTCTAGCTGACTAGAAGCAGAATGAACCCAATCACAGACTGGTATTTGCTCACAAGGCATTGATCATGTCACTCTATAACTGTCACTGTCTCCACGGTAACTGAATCTAACACAGTGTGCTGTTATGTCGGTCATCTGTGACCAGTTTGGAGAACTAGCACACTAACGGAAGAAATAATTTCACTTTGCTATCTGGCTGTCACAGGATTCTCATTGAAGTTTCACCATCCTATACTCGATTTGATTTATTGCATCATTCTCATTGTGTTCATTTTCTTGAAACAATATTTGGATATCTGTGTCCCCTCTTTCCATTTTTTTTTCTAACCCTTGACAATGCCAGTTTCAACTACAAGAAACTGAAGATTGAGGTAGCGAATGTTTCTGATCAACTAGGCAAGACCACCCATTGTGACTTGTTTTGCCCTTTTGCAATTCTTGTTAGTATATGCTTATTTCATGGTTAATTAGGTAGCACCTATGATTTATTTTTGATTATTTGGTTTAATTATTTTCAGCTGTCTAAGGTTTTTGGGACATACCGACATCGTTTTGGTAATCGGTTTTAGAAGACACATTTTTCGTGTTAATGTAGACAGTCTGTCAGCTGCCTCTGTCGCTGTCAATAGTTCCTTTTTCTTAAACCCACTCTTTCTAACGTTAATTTTTAGGACTCAGTCAAACATATTTTTTTTGTCATTGCCAATTTTCATCATAGATCTTAAAGTTATGCACTGTGTAGATTGAAACAATGACATGGATGCTGTGGAATCGGTAAGCAGTACAAATGGGCATAAATAACATCGTCACACATCACGTTACACGTCACGTTTTACATCGCTTGTTCTCAGCAGAGAATGATTTCTTTCACATAGTGCTAACCACAGCTGTGTGATCTTGCTCCTGTCGTAGATTTCACTATCATTCGTAACTCCATCACTGCCATCATGAATTTCAAATTTTTGTCACAGGAAGAAGTATTGAAAAACCATGTGTTTTTTTAATATTGTGCAAGTTAGATGGTGTTCACATTTTCAGGAGGGAAAAAACTCTTTTAGAAGGTAACGTTTTGGAATGCCTTGAACAAATTTGGCATGAGCATCTAAGGATTTCTTGTGTTTGTCATTGAAAATGTAACACTTTTTTTTTTTTTAAATAATCGTCCAATGTGCATACCAAAGTTATTTCTCAAATTTGAGCATGAGCATTGATTTTTGTTCAGAGTATGATTTAATACTTACAAAAGTTCTATTTGTCAAATAGAAGAAACAGTTGTTAACAGTGAACCCTGCTTTGCATGGGGCGGTTTTGGAAAGGGCTTTTTTTCTTTTTCTTTTCAATGGTTTGATGAACTTTATAATAAATTTCATAAATATAATTCTGGCAGCAGCTTGATATGGGAAGAAAGTGTATGATTGTTATTTCAAAGTTCTTCCCACTTGAACAATAAGAAAGGTTTTAAGTTTTACAGAAAAACATTAAGATCTAATGTTTTGAAATCTTGTTCAGATGGAACTTCAGGTAGTAGTGTATAGTGTTTGGTATAGTGTCATTTGCACTTGATCTAGGAAAAGTTAGTTCTTATTTTGTCAAAGAATTGATAACTTCTTGACAGTAAACATTGATAATAGCAGCAGATTTCCTATGACAGAAGTGACAAATAGGACAAGTCGATGGCAGCATTTCAGTGTGTTTGTTAGCAGTTTGCCATTAAGTAAGGTGAAGACTGTAAAGATGCAGGGTTTGAGTGTTCATGTTTAATGTGTTATGACGTTGCTTAGGATAGTGATGTCAAATTATTTTCAAACAGTCTAGGTGGGTATGTGTGCAAAACACATTGTACTCCGATATGCCCCTTTCTTGTGCCTTTTTTAGCTGATATTCTTTCAAGGTTATTTTTGGATGTTCTTCATCGAAATGGTGCTTGGACCCCAAACCAATATTTAGTTTTAGCATGAAAACCAAGTTCTCTAATCAAGTGACAAAAATCAGTGTTGGTTGAATCTGTTTTACTAACATTTCTTGTGAAATGTGAATAAATCAATAATTGTTGAAATATTGTATTCTTTCTTTTCTTGCATGTAAGGCGGAAAAGGTAATATTACTTTCTTGACCAGTTCATTCAAATTAGACTGAATCATGTTAATTATGTGATCTATGTCAGAAACCTTTGAGTCTACTAGCCCGAACTGATCTCCCAATATCCCTTTTCAGTGATTTTTGTGTGTTTATATACAAACTTTTATTCGCTAAGACCAAAAGAAATTTTACTGACCTGCTTGTTCGGACTAGTGGCTATTGTCATAGACTGATGGTTATATTGTAAGGCAAAACTTCCGGTTGGATTTAACATGTTTATTTGTTTGAACTTTACGTTTTTGTTTTGCTATCTTGAGAAACATTGATTTATTGAGATTTTATGCATGCCTGTTCACTTTAAAATATTGACACAAGACAATAAGAACTAATCTTTAGAAACATTTAAAATTTACATTTTAAAATTTGTGGGCATTTCATTTCTTTCCTCCGTGATTCAATAAGTTGTTCCTATTTTTTTTAAATACACATAGGAACAATCATGTCTGACTTCAAACTTGATTGTGTGAAATTGCCATTCTGACATTTAACATCAAACTTTGAAATCCTTGCTAACAGCTTTCAAAGCATAATAGATCTATATAATATAATGTGTGCATCAAAATATTAAACCCATGGCTCAAGAGGAAAATTGTCTTGGACATCAAAACATGTGACTTGAAAATATCTTTCAAAAGTTCAGAGAAGATACTGTTTAGGAAGTTGTTCTGAATGGTGTCAAGGAAAGGCTGCACTGGTGGTAATTGTGCTCTGAATGCTGATAAATGACATGTTGATGTCACTGAAACAATAAATGCTTTTGATTTCATTGTTCTGTGCATAATGTTTCGATTATCCGCACCAGGCCTTGGTCCTCGGCACTTCTATGACTTTTAATGATAGCCTGTTTCACCTCAGTTTGGTTTCTTACATACCATCTGCAAGTAAAGCCAAAATGTATTCTCGGCTGTTGGAAGGCTGGTTTGCATTTGATTGGGTTCATATTTTGAGTTTTATCAATACTACCTGATTTGCACCTTTAACCAGGACTACTTGTTGTTTTGTTATTTTTGTATTAGATTAGATTGATATTGTACATATCTAGATTCGTGCTTTCATAAAGGTTTATTAATATTATGCTTTTCTACAGTAAATATTGAAAGATGAAATAAGACCATTGATACTAATAATGTCTAGAAGCATTGTTACAAGCTTCAGAAGATAATTGAGGACATACTCAGTTGATTGATTTGTAATTTTAGGCATTAATTTAAGCCATGATGAACTTGTATTGGCTGGTCGGCTGACAAATAGTTATATCCTTCTTTTTCATTCCAGATTACCAAGAAAAAACCAAAAGACAAGCCCCTTTTACGACGTAAATCCGAGTTACCACATGACATGACTATGATTAAAGCATTGGAGAGCCACACTAGGTCAGATGAATATCTGACTAACACCTCCGAAAGCAATTGACGACGATGGACGAGCGTCTCCAGAGGCAGAAGATAGCGAGGGATGGGTGTTGCCTTAGACTAACCGGGGCGGGAGGGAGGGGATTTGTGGCTTTACCCACCCCACCCTGCTACCCCGCTGACCAAATATAGTGATGAAGAAAGCATGCAGTTTGAGCGGCACTTAACATCTGCGACTGAAGTAGTGTAGATAGAAAACACTGACATTTTATTGTACATAGTCCTGATTCATGATACTGTTTTACTGTTTGTGTACAGGCATAGAGTGTGTGCTATCCACCAACAACCTGCCTGTGTGGTAGCTCACACCGTTCCGCAACTAATAAAGTTCAAACTGCTTGCTTTCTTCCTCCTCCAAGCTTGTAGGTCGGCCATTTCGGCTTCCATTATGAGGTTTGAAAGAGAGGCTGACAATGAATGGAATATTAGATGTGTGACGAGGCACTTAATGTATTATTTATTTACTCTCTGAGAGGCGAGGACCGTGAGTTTGGTGCAAGTATATCCGTAAGAGACGTAGGTAGTCAGAATATAATTACTACCATGTGTTTGATGTATTATCATTCATTCGCATAAGACAACCCACTTACAATCAGGTGGTAAATCATGTAACTATTGAATGCGTGTGTTTGTGACTAGTCCATTGATTTCACACTGTTTCACTGTAATCGGCTCACTCACTTGTCACTCTTCAACTTTGATTGTGCGTGTGCATGTCTGTACGAGTGTGTGGCTGTATTATGTTCAATCTCCACATCAGTTCTTTTCTTACCTATTGGCTCAATCCTAATTTAAGGCTCATGATTCCAGTCACTTGGTGGCGTTTATCTCTCAACATGTGTGTGTTCTTCATAGATTAAGCTTCCCATACTTCTTTCACAGAGTGACTTTTTTCCCTAAGAAAGAAACAAAGCTGTGCATGAATAATTTTTGTACCCCATTTCTTTTGTTTGTCCAGAAATTGTTATTTTTGAAATCCCTTGATTGTATTATCTTGGGGTTTCTATTTTTAGAGTTCTGAGTTGTTTGTTAACTGAAAAGCCCTGACTGTATACCTGATATATTCCAGAATGATGTACCATGTAGCAGATAATTGCATTATAGATGTATTCCTTGCAGATGCATACGTTTTATCTCGACTGTCAAGGAACCCAAATTATAGGATAGAGACGTGTAAAGTGTTGACGATTTATCTTTGTATACTAATATTTAATGTACTTTGTATTATATAGGTTCTGTGCTTAATATGCAAACGGTGTCCTCACATTATCAAGAAGCATGTTATTTTCCACTCGTCCTACTTTGTTAGATTTTCTTCCTGATAGTGAGTGCATGTAAGGCCCATTTCTTCAAGTCGTCACATTTCGGCTGCTCATTATGGTTATTACTGAATAATTGCTGATTGATGAAGAACATAAAAATAATAATGAACTTTATGATAATTTTGAACATTTTTTCACTTCCTTATTGTTTGTGTGTCTGGTTGCACATGCTAAACGGGATATCAGCAACAAATATTATCTTTGTTTCTGACAGCTATATTCGAAAAGAGGGTTTTATAGACTTTGTTTTTAGTGGATATTAATCATGTTTGGAGAAAACTGTGACTCTAACATGGTGGCTGTGTTATAATGGTTGTGTCTAGTATTGCTATAGCAGCATCTAGAAACTGCACTCGTTAACCAGAAGAAAGTTCAACAATGTCTGTGACTTGTTAAATGCCCGGTTGAGAAAAAGTAATATTTTAGCTTGTTCGAATGAGACTGGTATGCGAGTTAGCGTATGGGTGTGAGAGAAATTATGAGCAATGCTCATTGTTATTGTTTCTGGCTTACTGCATTAAGCCGCATGAGTGATAATTATATGTCATTGTATCTAGTGATATCAAAGTGGTCATGAAATTCTGTCAGCCGTTTTGAGGATATTTTTTATTTTGTTTGAAACAATCCTTTTCTAACATTTCACAAGGCAACCGAACATCTGTGATTATCTTCTTGATGTAATGTTAGTGCTCGGCATTGGAGCATCAGTTTGTAGTGTGCTCCAGCAAGGGAATGTAGAACCATGAAGTCTCTTGTGTGTATAGGATTCATGTCATGAACCATGTTGCTATCTCCTCACTGCTTCTCAGCAAGGAGATGTCATTTTATTCAGCAAGAAAGCTTTTAGAGGTAAGGAGTAATACCGATTTTATAATGAAGGTGTCCTTTTATTTGCATATGAGTATAATATGAAATCTTGATAATCACTTTGTTGAAACTATAACAATGTTCAAATGTGGGACTTTTAATGTAATAAATGCATATTTTTATTAAAGGGTTTCTGTTGTTTTCAACATTAATTTATCAGTGTAATAGCAAAATTATTAGTCGACTAAAGATACACACATGGAGGAATATCTTTATACTGATGTATGCTACTCTACTTTTGTAAGGGAGGTTGGCAAAATCAACTGCAGAAGAAGTGCAAATCTAGTGCATAGAAAAGTCATAGGAGAAGTGATTTTTTCCCTGATGTTAATAACTGAAGTACATTGATACATGTCATTAACACATCAGATGCTAATTTTCTTTGCAAAAGATGAGTAGTGTACATGACCTGATGAATAGCTATTCAACATTGTAGATAGACATAAAAGCTGTATGGGGTGGGGATCACACTGGTTTCCTTAAATATCCACTTCTTCAATGCTGATCAAGAAATTGAATGTAAATCTTGTGCACATAATCATATTCATAATTTTTATATGTAATGCACTAATGACTCGTATATAGGGACTGTGAATTCAAACTGTGACCTGTTTGGTCGGTCAAAATAATTTACCACCTTCAAAATAGTCTCTACAATGCTGTTATACAATTATAGCTTGTTCAAGGTTGGTGAAACCCTGGTTCTTATGCAGCTATTGTAGATAAAACCTCGAGCAGTCATTACATGAACTTATGTTACCAAATACTAGTGTTTGAATCTCGTCTATAATGCAACTCTGGGGTTATGTGATTCGCAAAGGAAACAATGCTAAACAAATGGACCAGGGTGCCGTTGTACAAAACAACCTTTCCACTGTCTGTGTTAAGGTATGGGAGTTACGATCACCTTAGCACTAAGATCACTTTGTACAACGGCAGCCTGGCGTGGAATCATACAGTTGTGGGGTCTACTTTGAGTACCACCAATGGTTGTACGTAAAAGCGTTTTTGGATAGTACTTGTGCAAAATAAACATGGAACATTATCAGACTCATTTATTCTGTTTTGAACTGATTAGTATAACTGTATTTATCTTCATTCCTTCAAAGCATGCTCAACCGAAACTGGAACTTTCATTCCTTGACTTGTTTCACAGTGGTCAACTGGAAGTGAAAATATTTGACAAACGAGTATGTAGTATTAAGGTGATAGTATACCTGTTATGAACAATATACATTTAATGGTCATCTCAGATCATGTTTTTGCTAACAAATTTTACATGCTAACTTAAACAAATCACACCTCTACTGTTAATTCATGTTACTTTTTACTTAAAGGATCTCTGTCCGTCCCTTCAAATTTTAAGATAAATGATAAATACTTTAAATGGGTAGTTCATTTCGTTATCATGTTTCAAGTGATAACTGCTGATGCATATAAAACCACAATTAAAAGCTTAAATAAAGGCTTAAATTATAGCTTAAATCTTCCCACCAGAAAGGTGTGATAAGCATATATACATTGCCTGGTTGTTACATTGTATAATTACTATGATTCTGTAAATAGGGAATTCTTGACTGACCTTACAGCTTAACTTCTTGGGTCTCAAGTCCTCCAAGTTATGCTTGGGGAGGTTTAGTGTAATTTGTTTTATATTTGGATTGTATGCCTTCTGTTTGACTATTTGGTTAGGATCATTATTAAATATGTAACTGCTGCACATAAGATCATTTTATTCAGTAACCTCTTGCTATATGCATTGCTACCTGGTATAGGGTATGCAAGACATGCTTATACATTGTTTCAAAGAAAGGTGTGGTCAACCTTATTGGAAAGCCATTTGCAAGGAGGGAAGAAAAGTTGCTGTATAGTATATGATGTCTTTTGTGGAATAAAATTGCAACACATTAACATGAATGACCTCTTGTAATATTGAAGATGATGTAATTTGATCTTATAAAATTATTACTCTATAATGTTGACTTGGGTTTTGTTACTTTGTTCCCAGAATCATTTATATGGTGCACTCCCATCAGTGACATCTTTGTAGAAAACTGCCGATATAACCCACTCTCTTTGCCTTGATATTGTTTCAGTATTGTTTGTCAGAAATTACCATCTTGTGTCGAGGCTTGTGATGGTTGATGGAACTAATTATAATCCAATGGCAAAATGATGATGTGATCTTTTGTCCTTGATCCCATGGCAAAATATTGATGGCAAATTAAAATATCAATAGTTGTCACTGATATCACGCTTGACTATTAATGCCATTATTATGGATATGATCAGACCTAATTAATAAAAGGACATGCCAAGTTTAAGAAATAAGAAGGAAATCAATATTGGAAATTAAAGGTATTCATATCACCATAGTATTGCAAAAGTAAAATGCAACTGTAACAGTAGTGTTCTTAATACCACATTATCGTTTAAAATGCAGTAAAACTGTATAATAAACTGAAAAGTTCATTTTAGCAATTGGTGGTATTGGAACCAGTCATGAAAATGATGAAAAGAGGTTGGAAAGCTGTGAATGTTTATATTATAATATAACAACATTCGTTCCATACCCATAAGAAAATTAAAATGAGGCAGAGACCCTTGTACCATAACGACTGTGTCTTGAATATGTGTTACTGAATTATCAAATCGTGAGGATACAGGTGTTCGCGCGAGAAGGTGAGCTTATCCTGCACAACCGGGGGCACACCCGTCACAAACACAAGCAAAGGCAAGGCAAAATTTCACCTGAATAAACACCGGAACGTATGGTACAAGTCTAAATACTGAGTTGGAAATGTCTACCCTACAACATAGCTTTACTAAAGCCTTGAACGTGCTGAATGCACTAACCCTCATCAAACAACTTTCAGCCAGTCTTGACACCTTTTTAAATCTTCGTAGAAAGAGGGTGCTCCATTGTACCGCAACAGCTTTGAAAGGCTGGAGCTCCTGGAATATTGGTCAGCAAGAAGTGGAATTTGACGCCAGTCTTGATAGTATTTTTGCCACCGACTCTTTATGCGTTGATCTAAATATGAAAGAGATGAGGGTGTTTCACTGGTCTCCTTTGTTTCTAGTTCAAGTGGCTTAATCAGTAGAAGGGAATTGGCTATTTGACCACATACAATCCACATAACTCTTTTTACGTCCTGGCTAAATGTAATGGAGGAATGCGAATCTGTTTATATCGGAAGTAGAAGAACCAGATTCTCATGAGTTCTCCGACTTAAGTGGTTGTGAGTATGGTTTTACGCCGCTTTTAGCAATATCACGGCTGGGGACACCAGAAATGGGCTTCACACATTATACCCATGTCGGGAATCGAACCCTGGTCTTCGGCGTGGAGAGCGAACGCTTTAACCACAAGGCTACCCGACCGCCCCTCTCCGACTTAAACCATGCTATGGTTGATATTATTATAATTCCTCTATAATTTGCATGACCTATTGTTGAGTAATCGTTTAAATTTGGTTAAGAATGGCCTCTGAATTCCTGGCTCAGAAACAACTGCAACAATAGCGTGATTTACAAAATATTCAAAACTACATCAAGACCGATCTTTGTCCTCAAAGAGGAAACCGGACACTTGTCAATCAACGAGTAGCACGACATGCAGGGGACCCATTTAAAGGGACCGCCGAGATATAGCGATGATATGGTGGCGTTAAATAACAAACAAACATTGAGAGGGAATTGTTTACTGCATGATGTTTGGTAATGGCTTAATCTCACGAGAGCGATATGTCTACGTGAAGTGTAATGTAAAAAGCACTTGGCAATGGCTGCCAGGAGCCTGTGCGTCAAGCCTACTGAGCTCATTTACATCTAACGGCGTTGAACAACAAACAAAACATTTGAAAATAATCACGTAGAGTTATAAGAGGCAAGTAGTCAAACTGCTGATTGCATGTCATCGAACACCGACGGCGTGGATCGTTGTTCACATATCAGTCACTGGTTCAACTCGAATATTTACAGGTCGCCGTCATATTGCTGAGTGTGGCGTTGAACAAAACACAAACCACAAACAAACACTACATCGGGCTCCCCTCAGACGGACTTCGACCTGACGCTCCGGGATAGGCAGCAACTAACTCCATGGGTTGGCGGCATACGCAGCCTTCTTGGTAGACTAACATCAAGTCTCTGAAATGAACTATTTTACAGAAAAAATAATAATGCAGATCCCAGAGACTTTCATGCCATTTCTTCAGACACTGCAGTAATCTAGACTTGCCAAATATTATAGGCTTGCATGGGCTGTATGACAGACTGCCTTCCTGGTAGTTCACAGGTTATTTGGGGCCACAATATTTCAGAATACTTCCGCTACATGTGCGGGATAACTTAACATTTATATATTTGAAAGTTTTATATATGGTCGTGAATTGTAATGAAAATATTTTTTCAATAAAAATAACATGACTACTGCAAAATTCACCCCTCCTTTAAAATGTTTTAATCATGCAACATGAGTCATAAATACAGATAAAGCTGTCGAGCTTTGTACAAATTACTATATGTTCAATAGGTACTATATGAAGGTTATGTATCTTTATGCATTTGAGGGCGGCTGCGAACTATCTCAAACATCTCACCTACTAACTGATTATTTCCGTAGACAAAAGTACAACAGACAACATTTCAATGCCGCCCTTCAAACATCTTCCCGAGGCAAGTGAGTTAACTGACTATTAAAGTCCAGTTTCCACCCATTGCCGAACTAGGCTGGTATTATGGAGTTACATTGTGGCTGGACCAACGAGTCTATGCATAGTCTAATCAAAATCGCGCACTGAAATCGAAATCCGGTTCGTAAAGTCTCATGCAGATTTCGGTCGACTGCAGGATTTGCAAAGCATGTGCACCGCTAACTCGTTGTCAACAGATATCTTCTAAATCTTTTCATGTTTTTAATCAAGGTGCTCAGATTATTTGATGCACTTCGCAATGTAAGACTCGTTTAATCACAATATAGATCATGATTATCGATCAGATCGTCTTGACTGGGCGCCACCGTTTTGTTTGAAGCAAATGCAAGTGATACGAGAGGTTGAATCTGATTGGTCAATAGGAGAGGCATAGAAAGGACACAACTCGTAATAGCCACTGGTGGCGCTACGATCGAGCCCAGGAATTCCAGCCTAGTTCGGCAAGGGTGGGAACTGGACTTTTAAAGTCAGTTAACTCTCTTGCCTCGGGAAGATACCCTTCAAAACACTACTGCAATAGTCTGTCCTATCCCTGGACACAATATTGTTCATTTAAATATAATTTCTTAAAACTTCTCTTGATTCTTCTGTAGTAGTGTGTTTCATGAATGTGTGTGGGGCGAGT